GCACCCCTTGTTCACGGTGGACAGGACTGCCCCTGGGGGCAGAGGCTGCTGGACAGCGTGAGCCAGGACCGAGCAGTCCCGGCTCGCACTGGTCCGGGACGCTGCGCCTCTGCATTTTCAATGTAGTAAGATCCCGGCAGCTCAGTCCCAGCTCGAGCAGGCTCCAGCAGCTACCCCTCTGGGGCTCTGCAGAGCAGCCCTTATCGACTAATCGTGTAGTCGATTCAAATTGTATCCACTATACGATTAGCCAGGTAACCACCATTTAACTCTGGCCCCCAATGTTTCTCAGTTTCTCCCCTTCTGTCCCCAATACTCCCACCTTCCCCTTTCCAGCCCTCCCTCTCCAGCCCCCGCCAGACTCTCTCCAGCCCCCCAATACCCTCCCCTTCCTTCTGTCCCCCCTCTGGCCCCCCATTCCCCCTACTGTGTGTGGGGAGGGGTGTGACAGCCTGCCGCCGCCAAGCAACCCTTGTTCACGGTGGACAGGACTGCCCCTGGGGGCAGAGGCTGGCGGGCAGGGTAGTCGATTCAAATTGTATCCACTATACGATTAGCCAGGTAACCACCATTTAACTCTGGCCCCCAATGTTTCTCAGTCTCCCCCCTTCTGTCCCCAATACTCCCACCTTCCCCTTTCCAGCCCTCCCTCTCCAGCCCCCAGTACCTCCCAGCCTCCCACCTGCCTCAGTACCTCCCAGCCTCCCACCTGCCTCAGTACCTCCCAGCCTCCCACCTGCCTCAGTACCTCCCAGCCTCCCACCTGCCTCAGTACCTCCCAGCCTCCCACCTGCCTCAGTACCTCCCAGCCTCCCACCTGCCTCAGTACCTCCCAGCCTCCCACCTGCCTCAGTACCTCCCAGCCCCCTGCCCCTACCTTCCAGGCTCCTAATACATCCCAGCTCCCTGCCCCAAAGACCTAGCTCTCCAAATTCCTCTCAGATCCACCACTGCACCTTCCAGTCTCCACATACCTCTCATCCTCCCCTCCCCTCCCCATCTCCTAGGCCCCAAACATCTCTCACTTCCACGTCCCTCCAGCCCTTCCTATCCCCTTGCTCCCAAATACCTTCCGTCCTCACCTCACCCCCCAACATCTCTGATCCTTCCCCCAAATACCTCTTAAAAGCCGGCTCCCCTGAGCACTGGCTCCTGACCCCACCCCCCAGTGTAAACGTAACTGCTCACTAAAATTTCCAGCAGTTACACGTTCACATGCACAAAGGCCAGTTCACATCCCTAGTGCTGATCTCAGCCTTGGCTGCTACTAACCTCCCCCCCCGCCCTTGCTGCTGTCTGGCCCACGGCTGGGTTGTCATTTCAGCTGGCATGGAGGGGGCTCCACTCGAGGGTTGCAAGAAACGCAGCCCTCGCCCCCAGGGGAGTGCCTGGACTCGGAGGGGAAGGACCCGGGGCCCGAGAGGCCCCTGCCCGGCTCTTCAGGTTGCACCTCCTGGCCAGTGGATGCTGCAGTGCAGGAGGCAGCTGGTGGGGGTGAGTGGGGCTGAGCAAATATTGGGGCTGGATTAAGCCGGTCCTGAGTCCTAGGTGCATGGTGGCCTTGGGCTCTGCCCTCTCACCGTCTGTACCCCGCATCGTGGCAGAGCATCGGGGAGGCCCCTCCCCCAGGAGTGGCAGCAGGTCGCTCTAGGGATGCAAAGGGGCTGCCCTTGGAGCTGGAGTGTGTCTGCTGGGGTGGGGGCAGGCAGAGTGGGCCTGCTGCACTCCCCCTCACCTGTCACACAGCAGAAGGGTGGGGGTGGCTGTGTATGAGGGAGGTGTGGGAGTGTGGCGCAGAGCTGTGGGGGTGGCTCTGTATGAGGGAGGCAGGGATGCAGTGGGGGTGTGCAGAGGGGTGGGACTGGCTGTAGGAGGGAGGCGGGCGTGCAGAGGGGTGGGGG